ATATATATATATATATATATATATATTTAAGTGAAAACCTATCGAAACAAATAGTTTCTTTTTCTTCACACATAAAATCTTGTTGGGATCAAATACAAGTATCAAGACAATATGACCGTCATTTCCCCTACTAATTAGGAAAATCTAATAACTTCTATACTAAAAAGCGCCTTTTGAAAACCATCATTTCCCCCACAAATTAGCACCCAAAAATAATTTTGGCTTTTGGTTCAGTAATAAAATTAGCAAAAATCTATAGTCCCAAAATAATCCAAATCTTCATCATCAATATATCTCTAGTTGTTCTCTTCCCTCGAGAGCTAGGCCATGGCTGCTACCAAATCACCATCACCAAATTACTCTGCCACCAAGTCCAATACAACCATCAACAACCTTTCCGAGGATTCCCTCACCGAAATCTTCTGTAAACTCCCTTGCAAATCCCTTTTCACATGCAAAAGCATCTCAAAGCGTTGGTTGACACTCATTTCCAATCCCAATTTTCATTCCTTATACCTCACTCACCAATACAACCTTTTCCGAAAAATTCAAGCCCAAGGAGACGACCCCGACCAACCTAGCTTCATCCTAAAGCCGTACAACGCCCTCGTCATAACACCAAATTTACCCTCTCTACAACTTGGGCCTCTTGAAAATCACCTCTCTCTAACTTTCCTAGGCCCAGATTTTGAACCCACTAACATCGTACCACAATTACGATCTGTCTTGAAGTTTGTCTTCGCATGTTCCAACGGTTTGCTCATATACGGAAACCCGCGTCCACGCCATAAATGCATATACCACATTCGTAACCTACTTACAAAGGAATCGTTGGAACTCCCATGCGCTCTAACTCTTTGTGACCACGCTGGGGTTCTTGTGGGTTTCACGTGCGACCCTTATTATCGCGTTGAAACTGAAAAGGTTAAGGTCTCTATTGTTTCCACTTCTCAACGTAGGTTTAGGGTTGTTCGCATCCCTGCCTTTAGTGACACGAGGTTTGCGTTTGATGTTGAGGTTTTTTATTCCGAGACAAGGAAATGGAACCGGTTTTTAGTGTCGTGTCCAAAGGGGTTTGCGTGCGGGTTTTTTCTCACAGCATCGAGTGTTGAATATGAAGGGACGTTGTACTTCATGGGTGGAGGAAGGATCCTTGTGTACAACCCTTATGATAACGAACGAATGGCTTCGGTGATTGACCTTCCTAGGGGCTTTGGTGAAGCGTATAGAGGGTGCCTTGGAGTTACCTCTGGAAAGTTGCAATTATCTGAGTTCCCGATTTCACCCTCTAGTGCCTTTGGTGAAGCGTATAGTGGGAAGGTTTGGGAACGGAAACATTGTTATTGTGGGAAGGGAGAAGAAACAACAACATGGGAATTGGTGCATGAGTTTTCTCTCTCTAATATTATTGGGGCAGGTTTTGAAGAGTTAAAAGCCTCGGAGGGTGAACACGTGAAGGGGTGTAGTAGGATTTTGGCTTTCCATCCGTATGTTAAGGATACCGTGTTTTTGAAGTTTGGTGATAATATCCTATGTTGCAATTTGATTACACGAAGGTTCAAGGTTTCCAAATATGGTGGTCTCTCCTTGCTTTTTTACCCAGTGATCCCAGTTGTGCTACCTTGGTGGCCAACTCCGATTCCTTCGCCACCTTTATTGATTAATCGCTTTGTATAGCTTTTGTTTTGCATGACGGGTGTGTTTAGAATTTGTGTATAGGGTTATGCAATTCTTGTTCCATGCATGAGAAAAATGTCATTTAGATTCACAAAGTTCTTTAAAGTTAATTGTATATAAATAAAAGCTAGGAACAGATATTTGGAATGTCATGTGTTAATATTCCTATATGAGTTAGCTTTATGTATCCTTTAGCACTGAAACACAATCCATATATTTTGTCAAGTTGGCACACTTGTATTATTTGAAGTTCTAAACAATTTTAATTTGCTCAATAGGTATTTTTGCGACATCAAGATGGTTTCTTTTCAAAATTTTCACATGGCATCCTAGCACATATATTTATATTTTTAAAATCAAGTGAACACAAACTTTAAAATCAGATGTCGTAGACCACTTGCTTCACTATTGGTTCCACATTATGAATTCCTTGTAAATTAGAGGTTGCTTCTTCTGATCAACATAAGATGCAAAAAAACAAGTCATCTCACATGTTAAAAGTAGAAACATGGGCTCTACAAGGCAAATATTGGGAAACAAGCTTCAGTTACATTTCAGATTGGACTTCAACTTTTACGAACAAAGTTTTTTTCTAGCTTAACTAACTTTGTAGGCAAATATAGGTATTTTATCCATTTTGACAATAGATCGGATGTAGCCAACTACACAACGTTAACGTACATAAACAAAACATCGACAAATTTAGAGTAATGATATTAGTGAAATAGATAAATAAACAAAATGCTTATTTTGTTTCTTAAATAATTGTTCTATATAATATAGAAATAGTAATCTATATATAGTTATATAAGGTTTTGAGCAAGGACCTAAGGATTTAATAAGGGTTTTTGCCTTTCTAGCTAGTCCTAAACTACACCCTTATCCACACTAAAATTCAAACACGAATCTTAGAAAAGAGGGAGAAACAAAAAAAAGAAAAAGAAAAGACGAGAAATGACGAGAAGAGAGAAGAGACACACTCACCTAATAATTTTTCACGAGTGCATCCCCTTAAAGTATAAAAAAGAATATCACAAGAAGGGTTGAATTGTAATTTACAAAAACTTCTTTTGTTATAGATCCTTTTGAGCATATTTTGATATGCAAAATGTAGAGTATAATTTTTTTTTAATTATTTTGAAATAGTAAGAGAATTTCTTATTTATGTATTTAATATATTGGAATCCTATAGGTGCACTACTAGAAATATAGGTGCACTACTAGAAATATAGTATTTTCCTACAAAATTTTATGCACACCCGAAGCACCCTATTGGGTCAAAAGAAAATCAAGATATCAAATACCCCCAAGTGTTTACTCGGATAATGTCATTTACACAATTGGAAGTCCAATTCCACTGTTAGGTATAACACAGCTGGGTACTGCTTACCACGACCTTGACATGCATTACCAAGTCACTTGTGGAGTTTGCTCACCGACTATCTGCAAGAAACCATGCACCTCCCCCAGTACTTGGTTAAGGGAATAACCCTCGACCTCATACCCCGCTCCAACACTAGCTAAGGAATTAGATGAGATTTATCCAACCTAGTGGGCTATCCAAGCACCATTCTCACCCAAAATCAGTGGCCTATCCAAGCACCACTCTCATGCATATTAATGGCCTCTCTAAGCACCACTTTCAAGCATATCAGTGGCCTATCCAAGCACTACTCTCAAGAGACTCTATGTGAGCTCTTCTAGTTCAAAAATATTTTTCCCTCTCCTTAGTCATAAACTAGACACATGCCATAAGGCACCACATGCAAATAATGCATCATACATCATACATGGTAAATCCACCATCATGATCAACATCATCCTCATAGGAATATACATACATATCCAATCCTGTTTTAAAACATTCACACATACCTTTCTAAGCATACATATGAACCATACATCACCACACATCATATACCATACATCACTAAATCAACCGTATTCTAAGTAGCACAATCCAACCACATCGAACATAGTGTGACTCAAACCCGGCACAGCCCTGCTCGCGCTCGATCCAATTTAAAAAATAGAAATTCACCAAAGAAATCATGCCCAAAACAATTCATATTGCTCTTGACCTCACGAAGTTAGAGACTTCTAGGGGTTTTTCACGCCCGATGCACCCAGCCATGCGCTCAACGCCATATCAATAAAGCACCATACACAACCACTATCTGATATTGTGCCCGACGTGGCGCTGTTTATGCCCGACGTGACTCATCTAGAGGCTCCCATCTTAAATCATGCCCGACGCGACTAACCTCACGCTTAGCGTGATTAGGAAATGGCTGCCTCTGTTTAATACACACTTGATGCCAAGAACACGCGCTCGGCGCATATTCAAACAACAACATCCCAAACCCAGAAAATTCATCAAAACCTACAAAATTTTAGAAAAATAGCCACATGAAATCCATACCATCTAACATCCAAGCATCATACAATCTACAAACACACTCAGATCCAACATACACACCAGTGCATCAAAATCATCACATTCCCAAAATAGCCCAAAACCCCGAAGATTAAGAACATCCCTCAATTCAGCCATTGATTCCCCTAAAACAAATATTAATTGAGTTTCTAAAGTCACATACAACCAAACAACCTACATTCTAGCTTCCCTTACCTGAATGGCTCAAAATAGCCAAGAAATGGAAGAAGGAGAAAAAACTCCAAGAGGTTGGCTCGACAACTTCAATCTCCAAAATCTTAGCTTTCTTGCCTGAATTTCAAGAAATGACAAAAAAGATTAGTAATCTATTGGAAGAAAGGAATATAATAGAGAAGTTTGGGAGAAAAAGGAGCTTACAATCCCAAAGTCCTTCTCTCTAGATTTCTTTGGAGAAAAAACTTATGAGGTTCTGTTCTCTAAAGAAACCTTATATACCTTTCCTCCTAAGAGTAACTAAACTTTAAACATTTCACCTATCACTGTGTTACAATACCCCCCCAACAAATAGGAATTTTCGTCCCAAAAAATAGGCTTACCTGCAAAGAGGAACAAATACTTTTCCCTGAACTAACTCTCCACCTCCCAGGCGCCTCACCAATAGATGCGTCCTAAAGAACCTTCACCAAGCTGACGGACTTACCTCGAAGCTCCTTCAACTTGTGATCAACCACAACTACCGATCCCTTTTCATAGGTCACATTCTCTTTAACTTGCACTTTATCCATCTCCACCATGTGACTCAGGTCTCTAATGTACTTTCTCAACTGTGAAATGTGAAACACATTATGTAGATTGGACAAAATTGGAGGTAACACCAATTGATAAGCCATCGGACCTACATGACAAAAGATCTGGTAAGGACTAATGAACCTCGGTGTGAGTTTCTTGGCTTTACAACTCTTCCTACTCCAGTAGTGGGTGTCGAGTGAAGAGGTTCAGGAAAAGACGAAGCGTGTCTCGAATCGGCAACGATACGGTCCCTCTGATGTGCCCGGTTACGAGTGGGTCAATGGGGAGGTAACTTCCTACTACTCACGTTACCGAGACATAACTATGATCACAAACCTGCTGGACTATACAAAATGCTTAAATTTTGACGCTAAGGAGGAGCCGTATCCGATTGGAGTTCGGTCTTGCCAAAATAACGCCTTCCCGAACCCAGACATTGTTTGTTTAGATCAAAGTGGCGCAAAGATGGAGTCATTTTATATGTACGACTGCCTCGTTCGGGACCTGAAGGTAAAGCTGGCGTTTGATGAGTTTACCATGGGGTGTTGAAGGTGTTGAACGTTGCTCCTACTCAATTGATCATAAAGTTGAGTAATTTTTGCATCTATCAGTGTTATTGTTCAGGAAAGTAGAGCACTGTAATCCATTTACTACTCAGATGCTTAGATTTATAAGAACCCTCCCCCTGCTTCATGGACCGCTTTTTGAAGAATGAATTTAGCATCTGATTAAATGACTAGAGATATTAACTAAACTTTTGCACTCACTTCAGTAATATAAAATATGATGTTAAACAGAAAAAAAAAAGTTTAACTTAAACAGAAATTAAATTCTTTCTTTTACATATTTGTTGACATCTTAAACGCTTATTAATCAATTAAGGACAAATGTTTGTAGCGAATGTCAGTTTCATGTAGAATAACACAGAAATGTTGCATGATGCAGACAAGGAAATTTAGTGTTTTTGGTGCAGCAGGCATGTCATGATGGAAATATGGGCATCTATTGAAGAAATTAAGACCTTTTTGTTACACATTTTCTACCTTTCCAGAGTTCCTTGATTTTCTTTTGCTTTATTTACCAGCAATAGACATTGTATGGATGTTGATCATGCTTACCTGTCCGATCTTATCCTTTGAGGCATCCATTTATGGAGGCAATTGCCTAGTTATCTGGAGTAGTTTTTCTTCTAATTAATAGCATTCTATATTAATCCATTTAACTTATGCTTTGTAAGCCCAAGGCCATTCTATCAATCCAACTCTCTTAAATATATATTTTTACCGAATTCATTGATTAGTTCATCAGCTGATCATGACGGATAAATATCTATAATGCATATGCACATATGTATATGTACTTAATTAAGGTACAAATTGTGGATTTATGAGAGCTCCTATTAGCTAGAAGACAAGGTCTTTTATTGAGATAGATTTGGATTATTTTTTAAAATATTTTAAAATTTTAGGTTGTTTTTTCCCTCGAAGCTAGTATTCATGCATGTATCTGCATTGTATATATATGGTGATGATTTTGTTTTCCTCTTCTATGGGACCCAAATCAGCTTACCATATAGTGATGATATATAGACCGATCGATCAACGAATAGAACGTTTCATCTTCAGCGGTCACAAGAACAACTTTGAATAAGCTGATATTAGATCCTCCATATCAAGAAAATTCTAACGAAGAAAGATATATCAGCAACCATGATATAACATTTTTTTTCTCATCACATGTTGAATGGAAGAGATTCGTCTCGTGAGCCTGTAATGTCTACAGTTATAATTAATTGCAATATTACAATTAATTA